CCATTTCCTCATAGTTTGTTATAAATTATTTGTGTAATAATATTAGTTGGAGTTAAGACGTTGAACAAAAGTATAAAGAGTGCAGGAGACTATTCCGTTAGATACTATGCTAGCTTCAAATACTCAACAAATGCAAGGCTAAAATCGATTCCTTGAATAAGTAATGTATAGTTTGCAATGGCTTTTCTTTATTTCTGTCGCTATGCTGAATAACAATTTGGTGCTATGATTATTTTATAATCTTTATATTTTGGTGTTTGTTAGTCGAGATAGATTGTATATTTCATCTGCCTCCTCTATCGGTTGCTCGCTACTAACTTATCTTCATATTTCTTGATATTGAGAGACATTTGTTGTTCAGTGGTTTGACTGTGGCCGGAGATGGTGAGGCGTTGGCGGTAGTGGGCTCGGCCCTTAACCTCACGAGCTCGGGTCGTGCTCATGGCGGGCCGAACTCGTGGCTGGTTTTCAACGAGCCGAGCTTGACCTCGGCTCGTTGATTTTGGGCGAGCTCGGCTCTGCCCACGAGCTCGTAGCTCGTCCAAGTTCGTGGACTCGTCTTTTTTTTAAGAGAAAAACACAAATAAATGAAATAATGTAATGAAAACGCTTTTTAAAAAAAAAGTGTTAAAAAAAAACAAATAATTTAATGAAGACACTTTTTTATTTTTTTATTTATATTATATTGTAATATTTTTTATAAAGTATAAAATATTTATATAATGAAGACAAATTATTTTTTGAAATACATTTACAAAAAATATTTTTTTTATTTCTTTTTAAAGTAGATAAAATGTAAACCCTCATCCTTTATTCGGGCTTGGGATTGGCTATATCAATTTTAAGTAGGTGGAGTTAAAAATTGTATACAAACAATTTGTTGTAAAGTGTACAATTTTTAAAAAAAAATTAAATTTAACGATTAAAAAATAAAGAAATTTTGATTAATATAATTAAATCAAATATCACTTACCTGACGACATGCAATTTCAGCGTATTTATCTTGTAGTCGAAAATGAGCGTCCTGTCAATCATTCACGCACATTAATGCTTCCAAAACATTTTCTTTCGATCGGCTCCTGACATCAGTCAAAACCCTTTTACCTGCACTAAAAGCAGACTCCGAAATAACAGTGCTAACCGGAGGTGTCAGCAGATCTTTCGCAATTACAGAAACAATTGGCCAACGTCTTTCATACTTTAGCCGGAATTCAATTACTTCTTCTGAACTTTTTTTTAATTGTTCTGTCTTTTGGCATATTATGATTGAAATGATCAATTAATTCGGCAGACATCGCATTTTGAGTTTCAATCGATGTTTGATGATATGCAAATGTAGACGACATGGTACTAGATGAACACATTGCAGTTGCATTATATCTAAATGTATTAATTTCTTGAAATAAATTCATTATTTCGGCATCATTTTCTTCAATTTCAGTCGAAGGAGTAGGTACAGAGAGTACCCGACTAATATTCGCACCCATTCTTTTCGAATATAAATCATACATTCTACATAATGTTTGCTCTAAATTCTTATAGGTGATAGGTGTATCAAGTATTAAAACTTTATTGATTTGATTAATTACGTATTTAGTTCCCGAAATATTATATCGGGGGTCTATTGCGCATGCTAAAGGAAATAACATAGACATTTTTTCCCAATATTTTCTAAACTTTAATTCCATAGCAATCATAATTTCACTAAAAGCATGATCATTTTTATATATATGGAATGTTCTTGCAATTATATTAAGGCGTTCAAGCACCATACAACTTGTGAAATAATAAATGCTGGATAAAATCTTTTTGGTCTCATAAAATGATTTCAAAAATCGTTTAACTTTCAAAACTAAAATCTAATCGGATTCATTTAACATGCCATCGTCATCACTTCTAATGTGTCTATTGTTATAAAAGTCAGTTCTTAAATTTTCGAAATATTCACATGACTTTAATAGAAAGTAAGTAGAGTTCTATCTATGGCCTACGTCGCTAACAAATGTTTTAACAGTCGTCACCCCTAGTTCGACACAAAAATCTTCAAATGTTTGTTTTCTACTAGGAGAAATCGTAATATATATTATTGCATTCTTAATCCTTTATATGTTTTAAGCCATCTTGCACAATTAAATTCAAAATATGACACACACAATGAATATGAAACAAATACCCACCAAAATCAAGTTGAAGTGTCCTACACAATTTATCGACGATTACCTTATTAATACTAGTATTATCAAAAGTAAAAGACTGAATTTTAGTCTCACAATTATATTCCCTAACAATACTGATAATAACATTATATATATTATTAGCATTGTGAGGAAACTCAATAATTCTAAAAGTAATAATTTTTTTATGCATGCATCAAAGTGAGTCTATATAGTGTGCGATTGCAGCTGTATATGCTCTTTTATTAACCACTTCCCATATATAAGAAGTTAGAGATATAACACCCCCGTATTGTTGCAAATTCATAATTAATTGTTGTTTTGAATTATTGAAATATTGTATTGTATTGGCACGAAGAGTGTTTTGACTTACCCCAACGTACCTTAGTTGCAGATATTCTTTCACGAACGAGACGAAGTGTTGGTTGTCTGCAATAGCCAGAGGCAATTCAATGGCAGCAACAAATTTCACCATTCTGGTTCGAGTATTGTCCTCCGAATACATCTACGTAGATAGGGGTGAAGTCGTATAACTGACGTTTAGACTGCCGAATTGCAATTATGTTTAACCAGCTAGAAGAAGTCCATGTCTGGCCACACGTACTTTGCAATGGCGGTTGAGATGGGTGGTACCAATTCCTTTTTACCATGTCAATCTTTGTTGACAGTATTTACATACTGCTTTAGATTCTGCAAGGCCATCAACAACTTTTTCCGTTGAAATTAACTTAAAGTGATCCCAACATTTTGCTTTTTTTTGCCCTTTCGCTTTCCTCTTGCATCTGGGATGTTTAATTTGGCATCTTCGTCCTCATGTTCCGCTTCAAGAACGTTAATATCATCCAAATCAATTGGATTTTGATTTCTCTAACCATGAATGTGAACATCTTCAAGTATGAGTATGTCATTTAGATCGGCAAATTTATTTGAAAATTGACTTTGCGGCGTCTTAGGCGATTCATCATGATGTGGCCCATATCCCATATCGAATAAGCTCTCAACAAATGAGCGTTGGTCCATTTGTTTGATTGTTTATGATGAAATCCAAATATAATGACTAGAAAAATATAAATGTAGTGAGATTGTGAGAATTGAGAACTAGATGAATTGAAATTGTAACTAATAAACTGTAAAAATTAAATCGATATTATATATTTTGCAGCAAAAGAAAGTAAAAACTCGATAAGAGAGTTGAGACTTGAGAGAGTTGAAGTAGTGATTGAGTAATTGATGTGAAAAAAGGGGGGAGTTAAGGGGTATTTATAGTAGAAGAGAAAAAAAATAAATTTCCGTAACCGGAACGATCACTGAAAAGTTTCAGTGACCAAACGGTCACTTTTTTTAAAAAGTGACTGTTTTGATCACTTAATTATAATGAGCCACGAGTCGAGCGGCCCGCTCTGCTCGCCTCCCGATGAGCCCGCTCGGCTCGCGCTCGGGCTCGTGATTTTACGAGCCTGAGCCCCCCACGAGCCCTAGTTCGACGAGTCGCCTCGACCCTTTTGACATCCCTAGTTGGCAGTGAAACATGCTAGAAGTGAGGGTTTCAATCTTTGGGAATAATCATTGGAGGAATGAAAGAGAGAGAGAACGTCCGTCTTTTTAATTTCAGCCCCTTTTTTAATATGTGCCACTCATTTTGTAAAGGGCCTGTGAACCATGCTCTGTACACATTGCGAGATCGGAGTTCCCATATTAAAGTTAACAGCAATTACACAGAAATAATCCTCTTTTTTAAGAAGCAATGATGGTAAATTAACAAAATACTTTGAATGCCAATCATTTTTTACCTCTTTGATTCATTGGTTGGTCAAAAACTTTACTAAACCCACCAACTTTCTAATTCAACTAAACAATTCAAAAGCTCCCCACCAAAGAAATTGTCAATGATTTCCATCACCATCTCTGAAATTTCCACTGTCATCTTAAGCTAACATGAATGTGGAATAACTTCTAGACGATCAAGTACTTGGTTGTCTACAGAGAGGAATTAAAAAAAAGATCAACAGATTAAAATTGACTTCGACCAAAATAAGAAAGTGAAGGGTGGTGTCAGATGGTGTATATAAAATGATTGCTGAGAGAGAAGAGAAGCTCTTTTTTCATTTTTTTTTTTTATAGGATAAAAGAAGAATTTTATTGAGTTAATTGTTCCAATGATCACTGAACTTAAGTCCATATTTTTTATTGACCACTGAATTTTGAAAAATATCGAGTTTTGATCACTGAACTTAGATCTATGTCTTTCATTAGCCACTGAATTTTAAAATGTCGAGTTTTAGTCACTTAATTTAGGTCAATGTATTCGATTGCTCGCTAAACTTAGGTCAATATCTTATATTACTCACTGAAATTTAAAATGTCGTATTTTGATCACTAAACTTTGGAATATGTTGTTCGTTATTCACTAGCATAATTGTTGAACTTTGAAAAATATAGAGTTTACAGTGAATAATATACAATATTTTTCAAAATTCAGTGAGTAATGTACAATATTTTTCAAAGTTCAGTGAATAATGTATAACATTTTTTAAAGTTCAGTGGCCAAAACTCGACATTTTAAAATTCAGTGAGCAATCGACGACATGGACCTAAGTTCAGTAATCAAAACTCGACATTTTTCAAAGTTCAGTAGCCAAAACTCGACATTTTAAACTTCAGTGGTCAATCAAAGATATGAACCTAAATTCGGTGACCAAAACTCGACATTTTAAAATTCAGTGATAAATCAAAGATATAGAACAAAGTTAAGTGACCATTGGAACAATTAACTCAATTTTATTTGTTTTATGCATGTCATAAGGGAACGCTGCCTGGGGACAAGAAGTCCTCGATGCGTAAAGTACAAACCACCCTTATCAATTTGCTAATCTGAATATTTGGATTGATTGAACTCGTGTTATTAGTTATTAGAACCAGATATCTAAATAATGGGGTCTCCAAATCTAGGGATTGACATCTGTGAATTTGAAACCTTTCCCAAATTGAAGTAATTCAACTCGGGAATAAGTGAAACTTCAACACACATAGATCTTATGCAATATCGGAAAAATTGCCAAAGCATGTCAATTGTCAATTTTATATGTAGGAGTTCTGATTGTTCCTTTTCCGGTTGTGTATTTATCTTTTGGAGGGTGGGGGATAGGGAAGGGACTCTGTGACCTCTAATTGCTTCGATGAATCTTAGGGTTAAGTTTTCTTGTTTTAGTTCTATTAGCATAGTTAGTTTTCTCCAGAGCAGTATTTAACTCTCACACTATCCAGTTCCCATGTTTTAAGCTCAATTTTTGCAACATAGAAAAAGGGATTCACGTAGTAAATCCCTTCGTATTTCAATTTTTTTTTTCAGGGGATGAGTGGAGCAGGAAGGTAACAATCCTCGGAACTGTTGGCCTCAGAGGTGGAAACAACAATTCCTAATAACTTAGAGTTATGCTCAGTTTTCGGCAGTTTGCAGCAATGTATATGCTTTTTACCAATCAGCAACCTCGAATTTAGTTGTTACCTTGTTGTTTTGTGGTCTAGGTCCCATTGTGCAAAGATACAGCCAACTGAAGCAGCCCTTTCTTTACCCTCACCGGGGTGCCACAACTATCAGTAAGATGAAAAGGACATTATTGTTCGTACACTTGTCTTTTTCTGTTATTTCAGAAGGAGAGTGAGTGGTGGACACTGCAATATACGAAGTAGAAAATGACAAGGATTTTGGATGTCATTTCTTGTTTCTACTCATGGACTTCCACTCACCATCGTGTTCATGCCTTGTGGGCCATGTTCTCTAATGATTTGCTTCAGTTGGAGAAATTCTGCCCATCTGTGTTAGATAATTTAATCATTTGAAACCATGATTTTAGGATTGTATTCTTTGCTGACAGACCTTGCCATAAATTTTTTTTGCATGTTTTCCACTTTTCCTTAATCCTTATTTTTATCCCGTTAACTTGTTTCCCTTTAACATTTATGGATCATAGGGATTAGGATGACAAAATCTGCCTGGAGATGTTCGTATTATGTTGCCAGGAGACCCAATTTCCAAGTCATTGATTGGAATATTCGAGCTTCCTATCCTCTTAAAGAAAGACAATGCCAAGGCTATGGAAAAACCAAAGAAATTAAAAAAAAGGGGAATAGGACAATAGTTATGAAAAAATTTATTAATGTTAAATATGAAGTGATTACTTTGTTCAGAACACTAGAACACTATCATGTGCTCGCTATTTTATTTTTTTTCAATTTTCTAAAGAATGATCCTTTTCTTGCGGTCAATGCCTTTGCAGGAGTCACTAAGTTGAAGCTGTTTTGTGGATTCTAATGCCCCACGTGGATCCTGTATCCTGTTTGCATAATGCTATTGTGCTTTGAGGTTTGTCATTTTCTTATTTCCTTTATCTTCATCGACAGTTATGACTCATTTAAACTGTTTTCTTTACATAACATGCTCATCTCTGTTGAGGACATTCTAAGTCATGTACCAAAAGTATTTAAATGTTTACGGAGTTAATTATGCAAACCACTGCCAGACGGGTACTACATTAAATTTTTAGGGGTACATGATCAAAACCTGGCAATGGGGTTTTTCTTAATCAAACATTATTCCTCAGTTGAAGAAATAGAGAATTATTTGTACTTCTCTGGTGAAAGAGTCTCCTGCTAAGCACCCTTCATCGCACCCGATGTAATGCTAGATATGCAATAAATCGATAGCCCACCAACATCAGTGCCATGACGGCCACATCCGTCCACAGATGGCTTATACCTACTGCTTTGACGGCGGGATATTCTGTGACCCTGCAATGGCCTCCAGTTGCACACTCATAATAGTCGTCCTCACTGTACTGAACCCCAAGAAGAAGCTTGTAACAGTAGTAGCTGTAGCTCAGGTACTTCAGCCAAACTATGAAAGGAGGAATCTGTCTAATATAGTACCCTCCAGCAATTAGGAACACCAGAGTTGTAACTGAAGCTAAAGTGGCAGCTTGTTTAACGTCCATGAGTAAGGCACCAAATGCAAGGCCGAGACTTTGTGCAACTACGACACTGTAGAGAACAGTGAGAAGGGAGAAGATAAAGGTGGCAGGGTCAGGTTTGAGGCCTCCCATCCAATAAAGAATGAACGTAAATGCTGTCGGCAATGCGAGCTCCAGAGGCAGATCTCCCACTGTTCTGGCTAGGAAGTAGGAAGAGAGCCGGTACATACCAGACGACCGTTCCTTGATTAGCATGGTTCTTTCTTGAGGAAAAGTGAAAACAGCATTGTAGAGTGGGTAGAAACCCCAAAACACGGAGAAAAAAAACAGCATGGCAATCTGCATATAGGTAGTAACTCTTGGTTAGCATTTTTTTTTTTTTTTGGGGTCTTAGACATGTAGGTTAAGTGCTAAATAGACATTCCTTGCAAGAAATTTTTTGGAATGCCATAGAATCTAAATGCAGTATGCAGTATCACACGTCATATGTTAAGAGTATTATTTGCTCTGATGTAAAATCGAATGCATGCAATGGATGGATATGGCAATGCTTACACGATCGTCAATGTGAGATGTTGGAGTGTGCCACCACAGAAGCCCGGCAAGTATTGCCACGCTCAGGACTTGGAAGATTCGTAACCTGTTAAAGGCATCAAACCTTCGCTCTCGCAGTCCTCTAAGAAGAAGCACCTTAAATTGATGCCACCAAGTAGTGCACCATTGGTCTGGCTTAATATCACTTCCTGGGTTATTTGAAAATCACGAGGAACTTTATCAATAGGCAATTGGTAGAAGAGAAGTGGAAGATATTGAAGCCTTCAGAACAGATTCTTGCTAAAGCAAAATTGAGAAAAAAATATGAAAAGAACCCTGAATGTGAGGGAGAAAATAGGAGACTTACTTGTGGAGGTTTCCTTTCTGTAGTTGTAGCTAGTTGCATCTGAACTGCATAGCTCAGTTTTTAACCTTGTTGAAATGTTATTGTCATAAGCAGAGATGAGAAATTCTCTCACGGATTTTGGATCTTGTTGTGTTTTGTCACCACACTCTGTTGCGTGCTGGAAATCAGGTCCAATTCCTGAAAAAATGCAACAAATACTTTAATGACTAAGTAACCAATAATTTTTCTTCTCTATGATTTATTTCAATTTAGCCTGGGAATATAATTTGGAGAGTGTTTTTTGTTAGTAAAGGAAATTGGATTCCTTTATTAGAATGGAATTAGTGCAGGAATTGATCCTGATATTATGGAACTGAAGATGGGACAACCTTTGGGTGGGAACTCATTTTGCCCAGTTCCATTAAAGGGTGTAATCAGAGCCACAAATTCGGAAGGCTGCCAAAATAAATGTTGAGGCCCTTTCTTCGAAGTTGTTAAAAATTAAGCACATATTATGTACTTGCTGCATAAAATGGAATTTCATTATTACCATTAGCAAGATCGAGCAGGATATCTGCAGGATTGTCGATGACTGAAGTTGAGAACCCTATTGAAGAGAAGTACTCCAAGGCTGTCGCAGTAGGACCATAGTAGATTGGGCAACCGTCTGAGAGCAAGACTACCTTGTCAAACATATGGTAGAGTCGGCTAGAAGGCTGATGGATGGTGGTTATGACAGTTCGACCTCCACTAGCTAGCCGTTTGACTGTGTTCAAGATCCGCTGAGCCGTGGTTGAGTCAAGACCTGATGTAGGTTCATCTAGCAATAATAAACTTGGGTTGATTAACATTTCTTGACCAATGCTTACCCTCTTTTTCTCCCCACCTGATATTCCTCTGAATAACGGCCCTCCTATCATGCTGTTCTTGCACCTAGTTAACCCAAGCTCTACTATAACATTCTCTACATGTTGTACTTTCTCTTCTCTAGTCAGGATTTTAGGTAGCCTTAGTAGTGCAGTAAATAGAAGTGTTTCAAACACAGTGAGATGTGGATATAGAACGTCGTCCTGTGCAACAAATCCTGTCCGACGTTTGATGGAACCTGAAAAAGGCTGGCCATTGTATGTGATCTTTCCTGATAACCTACCAGCGAGTCGGCCTCCCAGAGCTGTAAGTAGGGTGGTTTTTCCACTGCCTGATGGACCTAACATCGCCAGAATCTCTCCTGGACATACCATGCCTGTCACCCCATTTAGTATTGTTTTCTCTTTAGTGCTCAATGTTCCTCCAAAACAAGTTCCTTTTCTTTCATAATTTACCTTGTAGACTATCTCTTCAAACTGAAAAGGTAATAAGAAAAATTAATCAGGAAACGCATTTAGCTGATTTACCTATGAATGTAAATATCCACTGAAGTCCTTAGAAATAAAAAAGGCCTAATAATTTCATCTTGTAATTATGAACCCATATTGCAAGTAAAACCTATTTTGAACTTTCACTTGAAACTAGTGGTCTGTGCATCTATGTGCATGTGTGCAGGGGGGGGGGAGGGGAGGGAGAGAGAGAGACCTTTAAAATTATGGGGTATAAAGTCTGTTGGAGAAATGACTGTGAATTGGTCTGTGGAGGGTAAGCCAGATAAGCTGTATCACAGGCCGGAGGCCTATTTGGCTGACCCGTCATCATTAATTAACACTGTTTTCTGGCTTTAGCACTACAAAACAGAAGGGCATGACCAAATTTGGCTGATGCTGAAACAGTTTTTTTCTCTAATGGTATTATGCTGGTAGTGTCTGGAGAGAAGGTAGACGTTGGAGAGTTGCTTTTAAATTGGGTTCACGAGGTGAAATGAACTATAATATATAAGCACATACTCAGAAACAAGGATCTCTTGCATATCAAATGTCAGTGATATAGGCCTAGACTCTCTGGTGGGATCCCACCTTTTTCTCTTAAAAAATTTTTCCACTGGTTTTGATCAAATATTTATACTATCTTCTTTGGAGTACATCTTCCCTTTATCATATTGGCATCTTCTCTCTCTCTCCCTCTCTCTCTCTCTCTCTCTCTCTGACACACACATATCATTCAATTCTTGGTTCTTTTAATAATTTTTTAATTGCATCCTCCTTATAATGACTAAGACTAGTGGATTATCATGCAGCTCAGATATAATAAGTGGGAAATGAGAACCATGCCATGCTTTTTTCTTGAGAACAAATAAAAAAAATTGTTGAAGGGAAGATTTAAATGAATGTATGATGTCCCTCTTTGAGAGCTTAAACTTTTAGACGAGATGCGTTAACACTAATGACTATGAAGCAAGTTGGAGTACACAGGAAAAACCTATATAGTAAATATCCTAGGATTTAAACAGCAGAACATTTTTTGGGCTTTGTTTTTAATAATTTGTTAGGTGATGACATTTAAATATTTGGTACTGATTTGAACTTGAAGACTTGAAGTCTTTTGTACTTCTCTGTAGATAATGATAGTGCTCCCCACCTCTCACTTTAACCATATTGATTAGTTTTGATTTGTTTATGGTTTTCTGCAAATGGATTCTTACATTATGTGTATGTCAATTCTTGTGCCTGCAGCACTGGTTTTTTAGTTTTCTTTACTGCTATTTTTTATTTTTTTTCTAGGGTTCTCCCTTTATAGGAACTAAAGGAAATTTTTTTTAGACCTGATAGTGATTGTAGAAATTTGCATTCAACTAAAAACATCGTTAGAAGAATCATACTTGATTGATTATTTAATAATACTTTCTTAGGTGGCTTGCTGGAAGGTCATTTGAATCTACGGAAAGTAGCGCCGAAAGCTCCAACCTTACACAGATGAGAACTTGGGTCCCAAACTAATTTTTCTTGGCTTTCTTTCCCAACCTTCTAGTTTTGTAGCTCTTGAGTCCCCACTGATGGATACCGTCCAAAAAGATTGGAACACGAGTACTCATCTATTTAAAGTTTTACCTTCAGGTATGCATTCAACTGCAGCTTATAAACTTTCTTCCTCATTGCCTTTATCTAGCTAAGTTAGATTATTAGAGAGGTAACCTCGAAAATCTTGGATATCGAAGATGTATTTTTCTATATACCAACCACAACAAACTGTCTTAATAAATTTAGAGGTGATTGCACGAATTTTTTTCCAACATTTGTTTGATTCATTGTTATATATAGGTGAAAAATCCATTGAAATCAATCGCATTTTGGTTAACAATAGTAGAAATTTATTTCTCCAGCGGGAGAATCTATGCTGTCTCCTAGAAATTAAACTACAACCTATAGAAAAGCAGTAGGCATTGGCTTCTGACAGAAAACCGAGCCAAAAGTTACTGCATAAGATCAAATTGATAAGAAGTAAAACTGGTGGTTCTTTTCCTTGTAAAGCCAACTGATGCTTATGTTCCTTCTAAAAATATTCTGCTAATTATTCTACTGTATTTTTCAACATTCGTATCCACGAAAATCTCATACATGCACACACAGAGCTACGTATTATTGGGTGTGATTATTTTCTCCAATAATATTCCTTTGAAAGTTGAGAAATGGAGATGAAGTTAGATGCTATTCAAAGCCCACCCCTTAATACTCTCTCCCTCTCTCTCTTCCTTTTCCAAAATTTCCATAGTTAGGCTGATCAGAAAGAGAAATGATTAAAGGCAGAACCCATCAATCTGATTCCAATTCCTGCCCATAGAAATGTTGTTTTTACATATTGTAGAATGAAGATATTGGGTCATGCATGTGGAGCCACTCTTTTCTGGGTTCCCGTCAGTCTTTTATGAATACTTGACAGATGCGCATTATATAAAATACAATACACACATTATTGTTTTGCAGTTAAATTAAACTCTTGCTTTTGCTAATCCTGGTAATGCCAACTTGTTTTTTTTAATGCATTTGAAGGAACTTTCTTCGCTAACCTCACCTTTTTACACGTTTTTACATAATCCCTCATTTGAAATCTTTAATCTCTACCCTCTTGTTGCTCTCTCTCACACATGCGTGCACACAAAATATGTTGGTTTTGTGGATTCATTATGTTATGTTATTAATTGCATTGTGAGATGTAAAGCTTGTTTTAAACAATGACTATGCATGTGTTTTTTATTAAGCATCAGGTACGGTTCGAGTAGATAAAATCCATTTCATGCCCTACATGTTGGTTTTAGCAAATGAGTATATTGCCCTATATAATCTATAGACTCTTTAGAGCGAATATAAGAAAAGAACTTTCATGATTGTATTAGTCCTCCTCCATCCATGTATATATATTGAAGTGACTGCCCCACCGGGGCATAACTTAGTGATTCAAAGGATAGGAGTAGGGTTATCTATAGTCGCAGTGTGGGGATTTGATTCCTGAAATATGGAATTGGATTCCTTGTAGGCGCAGTGTACAGGCAGCTCTTGTTCCCTGACCTGTTGGGGCACATCCCGCGATTTACTTCCCTCATAAAACTCTAGGAACGGAGTGGTGGGAGCCTTCAAAGTTGGGGTTCTACCTTTTTTTTTTTTTTTTTTTTTTAATATATATTGAAGTTAGCATACTATATTATTTCTACGCTGTAAAGATGCCTATAATGAATTTTTTTTGACGTGTAATGTTTGGTACATACGAATTTGTTTATATTTTGAGATGGAAAAAGTCTGATAGAGTACTCAGGCATCCCATAGAGTCATAAAATCTCATTCACACGCGTTCCTCCCTAATTTCTTCGATGATGTCTTCTTTCTTTCTTACTTTACTTGACAACTTTGGTATTACTTGTTTGCATGTTTGTATAATTTGTTAATGTTTTAGATGTGATATTTTTACTTTTGTTTTTGCCAAAAGGGAAAAAATAAAGCTATCTTTTTTTTTTTTTTTTTTTTTAAAATCCAAACATCTAAACAAAACCCTGATGTGTACGATCACTTTGGAATTGTGGGTTAAAAATCTTAGAGACAATTTACTTTGAACAGTTGTTGAACTTTAAACTTATTTCTGAGTCGTCCCCGTAGTTTCAATGTTATTCCCATTCGTTATTTCATCTCCATCCATCTGAAAATTAATGATTTTGATAATGTAGCAAACGGAATTGTTATTTTTTCAAATGATCAGGAGTGATGGGATAGAAATGACATTTTGGAAGAAAAACAAATTTAATAGAAACATAATTGCTTGAAAAAAGGTTTTGAAGTTGAGTAATTGTTGAAAAATAAAGTCGAGAGTATAGTGGCCATCAAGATTATTTTACCCTAGAATTTATATTTTGAATTTGAAATTGAAATGGGGGCAAAACTCAGTTCAAACTGGGATGAAGATATTCCAATACAAATTAAGGAAATTAGGAAAGTGAGAACGAGAAGGAAATAAAGAAGTATCCAATAGGATTAATCCCTTCTCTTTCTTCATCTTCTTTCAAATTCCAAGGAATTATATGTCCCAATAAGAGTGGATTGGGTCTTATTGTCAACTAAAAATATGCTGATAAACATACTGCGTGCCCTTCATCTTATCAATTGTTTTTTCCACATTTTGTTTTCATTTGATTGGTCAATTGAGTATAGGTTCTCAAACATAACAACTCAAGAAAGAATATATGTGTCATATATACCTTTTTTTTTCCAACATAACTATCTAAGTAAATATACGCGACAATCTTGTAGAGAACGGAAGGCAAAGTTTGACTATCTTTGTTTAGTATTTTTCAGCCTAAAATGTCAAATATGTTAAAAGTATAAATTTTATGTTAAGCCCTTGTTTGAGTCCATTTTGGAGGAAAAAAATGAATTTTTGAATAGTTTATTGATGTGAAATGTGTGTTAAAAAATAAAAAAAAAAAGTTTTGAATTTACGTGTAATATTATTTTATTGAAAAATGTGTGGTTAAAATGATGTTAAAATACTGTAGAAGAATGAATTTTTTTTTCCCCTAAATAATGGGGCTTAAACAAGTTGTAAATCTGTAAATAGACACATAATGATTTCTTCGTTCTTCTTAATCGGGTGTACCTTTTAAAAGGAACTTCAATACCCATTATAGTATCAGAGCTCAAGCACTTTCATCCATTCAATTTAGATGATTAATCAAATTTGAAGATTTGTTATCTCAATGGGTCATTGCGGAGGCTTTTTGATGGAGGAAGAATAGTTTAAAGATAAAAACAAAAATCAAGATATAAAGAATTGTATTAATCAACTTAACAAGATTGACTCCTTAAAATGGAACTTTCAAATTTCATAAAATATATTGTAATGTGTACGTATATGATTCCCGATGTGGTCATGTTATAATATTTCATATCATATGTGACACAACATGGTCAATTTTATTCATTAAAGTTGAACTAGTGGATATGGTAGATATTCTTGAAACACAAGGAGTCTCTATTCTCACCTTTAGAGTTAATGGTTGGTTTTGGAATGTATATGAAAAGTGGTGTGGGGACTGGCACAATGTGTGGAAGCTGAGTTTAGTGCAGTGGATGAAAGGGATTTAACATGATGCTAATTCATGAGGGATTATTCTTGTTGTACACAACTGTGTACATAAAGGTGTCCAAAATGGACACCCGGTGGCCCTCTATTGGAGGGCGCGTCGGTAGGCCAAGCGCACCCTTCAATAGGAGGTCGCCGTGTGTCCATTTTGGACACCGTTATGTACACGGCTGTGTACATGTAGCAACCTCCAATTCATGAGAGGGACTCACAAAGGCTATATGTTTGATCTTGCTCAAAAGCAAGATAAATTTATTTTCAAGTTCTGTATTTATCAAATATGATTTCAAGTAAGTTAAAATTTACTTTTCTAGAAACGTAAATCCTAACATAGTTTTTTAGCACACCAAAACAAGTTCTTTTGGGTCATCATAGGACTAAACGCACATAAAAAAAAGTACCATTTAAATTAAACAAAAGTTGCTCAATAGAAGCCTAGTGGAGGGACATAGTTTCAGATACTAAGTGCAGAAACAGTTTTCTTTTACATTCAGTTTAGTAAATAAAAATTCCAAAAAAAAAAAAAAATTCTAATTTCTTCCCTTTTTTGGTTTCATAATCTCCAAATATATAAGCCCGTATTCTCTTTTTTTTTCCCCCTCTTCTAATTTACTGAAAAATATATTTTTAAATTAATTTTATTATAAAAAAATAAAGTTATTTTGTAGGTCGAGTCCTCAAACTGATTTTATAATCACATTACCAAGATTTAGTTTGATCTTATGTGCACTATGGAGACAATCAAGTGGAGGAAATCACTTTCAAGGAAAGAGAATTAACTTTCATTCCATTACTAGTCCACTTCTTTTGCCTCACTAAATGTTGCTATCTAAGTCTATATATGTAATAAAAACTGTCCATTTCTTTTCAAATTATTGCCCCATTGAATTTTGTTCTTGTTGATTTATTAGATATATGTTACTATTATATCAAAAACTAGTATGTCGAGAATCTCCTATTTCAAGAAAATAATATCTTTTAGACCATGCTACACTTACAAACCTTTTTTACAAAATCATTTACTCACTACTCACAATAGGAGGTGGGGATCACGAGCCGACATTTTTTAAATTCACGTGGGGGTCACTTGTTTGTGAGAGTAAGTAACCTATTTTGTACACATTTATTTGTACATATATATTTATCCATATCTTTTAAGATCATCATTGATATGTGTATATGCGTGGTTCTATAGACGCACTTTAATTTGTTTTTTCACATCTAACCTTTCATAAGTTCCTATCCAATTATTCAAATGTCTAACATGTGAAATTTTTACAATTGCATGGTAATAAAATTCGAACTCATCATGTTAATTTGTTTTGATATGATGGCGAACAAATTTATGTATTTATACTTTGTTTTTACAATATTCAACTTATTAAGCTATCATCACCACAAATTAATCACTCTTAGTTCATTAACTTGGAAAAAAAAAAGAGTGGTTTTGAAATGGGGTTAGGAACTTGACATGTAGCAAGCACTCTCCTAGTTTGTAGTTGGGGTGGGGATGATAGTGGGATTTATATGCTTTCAAAGATGATGAATTTCAATATATTATCATGTTGGTGGAGAATGGGCTATCCCTACCCACATTATCTATTACATTATTTTATGAAGTTACATTTTCCATCTTCTTTTTGGTCCATTTTCTTTCCACCCTTTTGTGCCTTTGAGCTTTTTAATTATCTTTTGTTTAGCTTAATTATTGACCCTTAAACAAGCTTAATGCACCTTCTTTACATGTTTTATTATTAAAATAAGTAAGATAGATTTGGTGAGTGTCATGGAAATGGTTAAATATTAAGGTAAAGTGAGGATGATATCATCCACAAATTGGTTAAATAATGATTGAAAATTTGACTCTTAACCAACAATTACTTGAATAAAAACTATATATAGTTTTTGAAAGCTTTTCCATCTAGCAAGGGTTGCAAACTTACTCATGGATAAAGCAAACGAGGTTCTTTCGTGTTATGACACGAGTTTATCTTTCTCGAGCTAACTACAGATAAATTATATAATATGTGCAAGTGTCTATCATGTTGACGGGTTTGATATTCTTAAACCTTCAAATCACCATTGAAGAAAAAGTAATATAAACATATATGTTGCATCTCTAATAGTTTATACTTTAAGATGATATGAGTGTTTAATACGGTAGAAGAGAAGATGAGTTCAAAACTACTTGTTTGTGAAACGTATTAACTATGTAATGAAAAAATAAATTTGACTCGTAAGTGATTCAATAACTGTAAATGTGATAACTTGATGACCTTTGAACGATCTCTCCCCCAATTTTCTTTTCTTTTCTTTTTAAATTTTTGACACTTTGCAAACGGTTTTATTTGTTCTTATTAGTCTTCTTCTCAGTTGTTAGCTAGTTATGATTCTCTTAGGACTTGGCTAGTGCAGTTATAGGCAAAGCTGCAAGGATTCCTCCTACATAGTGGTAAGGGGATTCCTGTCCACTATTATAGGGCCAAGTATTCCATTTTATTTCTCTGTCATAGGTCTTACTTTCGTATGTTGATCAATTTAACGTACTAAATGTAATAGAGTGTTTGGTGGATATTAAAATTAGATTTGTTTAGTATATTGTAATATAAATTTTTGAAATGTGTGGTTGAAAAGTTATGAAACCCATGAAAGAAGTGGTTAATATTGATTGTTTGACTTTGACTTAAATTAAAATCAGATTTTAATCCAAATTAAACAAGCTCTTAAATTTCTCGTATAATAAGCAATATTTGGACTACCATAGTCGATCTTGGCAACATCATAGCTATCGAAATCGAGATTACTTAGAAGATTGAGAATATTGGTTTAAACAAAATTCACCTTTCTTATCAAGAGAATAAAAGGCACAAAATTCTGGCCAAGACTCCAAGAATCACTATGAGTCTTGAATCGATAACTCATTTAGTGTCAATTAGAGAATATGAGGTGTCAAGGACGAAATTTTTTACCATAATGAATTTTCAAAAATAAGAGTTAATTCTCATATTATCATTCCACGTGTAAAATTTTTTTTTTTTAAGTGATGATAAAGTTTACTTTAAAGTTATAAGACCACAAGTTTTAAACTTTAATTAACCTTCACCTATCTACCTACATTTGTTTTTCAATCATGGGATAAATTTAACTTAACTTTAAAAGAG